ATTGGTGCAAAAGGGATAATTCACTCCACAGACTTTTCCTAGCTTCCAAATGGTTGAAACCATATATTGATGAAGTAATACAATCAATTCTTCCATCTTTAGATTTGACAATGCATGTTATATGCTGAGGAGAGGAAAGTGATACATGGATGTCTAACACATTTGGATCCCATAATAACAAGATTTTGGCAGTTCCAGTATTGTTCACATTTGAAAACCATTCCCAGTTTCCAGCAATTTTCTTTGTAATACTAGGTAATTTTCTATCCTTCAATTTTGTTTCCAGGAGAGCAATAAAAGAAAGGTGATATTGTACAAGATGTTGTTTAACTAAGAGCTGTTTAGGAGATTTATTTAGTCCCCTAACATTCCAAAAAGGCATATTCATTTTAGTTTTGCCCTCCTCTATCCAAAGTAGAGGGATCAATGTCATTTTCCATATCAATCAGAGGAGCAAAGGAGTACTTTGCATTATTATTGCTTCTTTGTATTTGTTTCCATGAAATTTCATTTAGAACTAAACTGCTAGAATTTCCTTCAAAAACAGGCTTAACATGCACAACATGTACAAAACTATTACTCTTACCAGAATCTTTGTATCCTGGGACTATTTCCCCCTCAATTGCTTGTGGTAATCCCTTTTGCTTGGTGTTTGCATTAGAGGAAGGTAGAACATGCACAACCTGCACAAATTGCCAATTGTTCCTGCCAGAATCCTTTTCTCCTAGAAACATCACAACATCCCTTTCATGCACCAGATTTTCTGACCTTTGGCATTCAGAATTGGAGATTTCAAAGCTAGTGCATATCCCATATTGTATTTTTCCAAATCAATCATTATCAGACCTGCTTTTTCCAACATATTCATCATTAACAGTATGGTCATTATTCATTTTTTGCTTAGGAATCCAACTTTGAACAACAGGATGTCTCCTACAAAATTTTGTAGCATGCCCAAATTGCTTACAATATTCACACCATGTTGGCTTATGCTCATAAATCACTTTTTGGTAAAAATTTGTTCCATTAGGTCCTTGGATTTGAATTTTATCAGGTAGAGAAGAGGGCATGCTTACTTCAATAAGAACTCTCGCATAGGCTAATCTATGCCTATTTGTTGTGAGTTTTATCCGTGGTGATGGGGCGGCCAATGATACTAGCAATCTTGCTTATGCCTTTTGCATTCCACAAATTAAGTTTTAAAGCGGGCAATTGAATCCAAACAGGGTAAATACATTCCTTTGTTTTTTTCAAAATCTTCACCATTAGACGAGGGCTTCACTAATAGAGGTCTAGAACCAAATAACCATGGTCCATTAGTGAGAATATCATTCATATCATCTGCATTCTTGAATTTGAAGAGAAACAACCCAGCTTTAAGCAGAGAGAATTCAGGATTAGCCAAATTTGTCCACACTTTCTTAACAAAATTTTCCATGGCTTTATATTTAGCATGCAAGCCTAGAAACTTGCCCAACTAGGGAGAATTTCCAAATTGAAGCTCCTTCATTCCACTCTTCATCATCAAACAACATTGTATCATCAACTTTTGATGGAAAATAATTCAACTCTAATCCATTTCTAGGTTTTCTATTATCAGTAAATAAGCCCACCCAGGATTTACTTGTATTTCCATCTTGTACTAAATCATATCCAGATTTCTCACTAACTGGATCTAAATTGACATTTCCCTGATTTTCAGTTGAATTTAAAGAAGAACTCAATGGAACAATAAAATTTTCAGATTCCAACGGATTTTCACTAGTTGAATCAGTAATCAATGGAACAGGATTAGGATTTCTTGAATCAGAAAACAAAGGAGTTTCAAGATCAAGATCATCAACCCAAGATCTTCTATCTGATCCATTAGTTTTACCAAGAGAAAGAGGAGACTTACATAGATTCTGATCCTCAAGAATCTCAGTCATTAGCTTCTTCTTCTCACCACGAGGACCAGTTGAACCCATAATGTCTGGGCTAAATTCTTCATCATCTTCATCAAAACTGGTGTCAAAATGATCAGCAGGACTCGAAGAACAATGCTAAGGATCTTCTTCCCACTAGATTTCTTCTTCTTCGCCATTAAAACCTCAGCAGAGGCGTAGGTTAGCAGAGCCCAGATCGCCTGCTAACAAACACCATATCTCGCTCTTTTTTAATAACTCCTAGCAGATGAACTTAACCTTGAATTTTAAACAAAATATACTAATGGCTCGTTGTTTGAGTACTATAAAATTTATTTCGTCAAGAAGGCAACATTTGTCAATGCGTTTTTGAGAGATTTATTAGTGGGTTCTTTGAAACTATGAAAAGTGTTTGATTTTTGGTCTTAACATAAGAAGATGTTATTAAATTTAGGATAATCAGCACTTAAATTCTGAAAACTTTCAGCTTTTTGCAGTAAAACCTCAAAAACTTTCAAAATCGTAATAAGCCCCAGTAACTTTTGGAATTGCAGAAAACCCAATAAGTTTCCATGTTTTTGCAGATAAACCCCATAAATTCAAACCAAAAAACAACATTAAAAAGAAAATTTGAAATTATTGAGGGTTTAGTGTAATCTACCCAAAAGTTATTCATGGTTTGTTGCAAATGTTATTGGGGGTTTAGTTTGATTTTAAATGTTGCTAGAGGTTTACTACAAAACGCTGAAAGTTGTTGTGGGTCTAGTGTAAGAGAACTGCTAGCCATAGTCACGAGTGGCTCCCCCTCACGCTGTGGCTAGATTAGGGAGATGTGTCATGTCCTAGCTACAGCGCAAATTAATGAAGAGCAATCACGGCTGCAGCTAGCACCACTCTTAGTGTAAATGACCCTTAAATTTAAAAAGATGTGCATTATTTGAAAAGAATTATCAAGAATATGTTGTTAAATTTGAATATTGTTAGATTTTAAAGGAAACATGGTTGATAACAAAGAAAGCTTGAAGAAGGGAAAGAAGATGGAAAGACTTTGCTTACTATATGGGTGGGATGAGTGATGATGTGGTACTTTAAAGGTACTAGGTAACCCATACGAGTGGCTTAGTGGTTGACGCTCGAGATATTGGCACAAAAGTCAAGGGCTAATCTTCGTCTATGACATATATATTCTCATTTAATGAGTAAAAAATTCCTCAAGGATCCAAAATATAAGACTAATAGGGGGGACAAGTGAGGTGTCTTCCTCCTATTGGATAATGAGTTGGTCATCATTAATGATGGTCAACTCATTATCCAATAGGAGGGGGACACCTCACTTGTCCTCCCTATTGATCCCATATTTTGGGTCTCTATAGTAAAGCTCTTTATTGAGTACTAGTTGTTACCCATCTAAATTAATATTCTTGTATGAATGTTAGGCTTTTGAGTAAAGAGAGATGATAAAAATAAGTTTTTTTTTTGAAAGAGGGAACAAAATAAATGATTTATAGGAAATTGAAAGATAAAGAGTAGTGATTCTCAAGATGTGGAGGGTAGTGCAAGATGAGAACGTGGATAAAAAGAATATTAGTTATTAAATGTTGAATCTCTAACAATTTGCCATGTGGTAAAAATATGTAATTAAATTTATATTTTATTAGTATAGTATTGATTAATTAGATATTGCGAGAATTATGCTGTTCATTTGTCCCTAGAAGAAATAAAAAATGACACTACGTCGTAAATGTACACATTCCTCAAAGGCATCCCAAAAGTATTGCTATGATATTAGAATCTATCGAATTAGACTATAGTCTTACAAGGAAATAAAAATACCCTCTTAGAAAGAATAATAAAGGGTACGTACACTTTACAAAAACCACAGAATTATGTACTGTTTCCCATGAAACATTCCTTGAACTTTATTTATTCCATTGGACTCGAAAACTTTGATTCTCCCATATAAATCTTCTAAACATTCAATATCTCAAAACTAACACGCATAATAATAAGATTGACAAGCATCTAAATCGAACGTGCTTAAGAGAAAATACTCCAATTGAAGGGAGACGGTCAGTTGTTGTAACCAATATATACGTCGATCTCTTGAGAGAATACAAATCATCTCGGCACAATCTTTACACGAGCCGATTGTTCTACTTCATACAAAAGGCAATATAATTTCTAAGTTGTTTATGAACGAGAACAGTCTAGTCGCATGAGCTCTGATTTGATCAAAATTCTTCTGGTAGAGGGGAGAATATTGTTGTTATTTTTGTTGTCCCAATAAGTTGGCCCGTTACAAAGTGGCCCAGCTTCCCACTTGATTTGCCCTAGCCCCATCTATCCCTCTCTTCATACCCGATGGTACTCAACCCTCTGTTAGCCGACCCCTCTCCATCATGTGTCCTGCGCTGCCGCCGCTTGGAGCCCATACCATGTAGGCCGGCTCCTACCATTCGAACCCTAGCTTGTCCCTCCCGTGTCGGCTGCCCCCTTCTTCTATTTAAGTCGAAGGGCATGGTAGTAGCTCGGTGTGGGAAGAAGAGAGGAAGGAGGAGGAAGAGAACTTGAGCTTTGTGCTCTCACCCTTTGTGCGATCCTCTCTTCCCGTCAAGCCCTTTGTGCAAATCCCCTTTCCTCTTTGTGAGTGACTTGTGTAGGGTAGATCAGTGGGTTCCCCCTTTGTGCTCATGGTGGTGCACAGTTGAAGGAGATCGGACTGTTAGAGCAGGCTTCTGAGCCAAACAAGACGACGTCGATCCTCAACAAGAATAATGACATTTTCCAATTTACAATGTTAAGATCAATGTAATTAGATAATTAGATGTTAAAAAAAAAAAATCAGACTTATGGGGGGGAGAAAAAGGAACAGACAAAATGGTTGCCTCTAAAAATTGAAACCAAACAAAAGGTGGTACGATAAGATAGATCCATGCCTCATGCTTGAAGCAATAGATAAGCAAGCGCGGTGAGCCTGCCAGAAGACAAGGCCTCCCTTTGTTTCTCCTTTTGGACCGCCTCCCATAAATAAATAAAAGAAATAAATAATTCTTTATATCCTTAAAAACTTTATAAACTATTGGAAATATTCGCATTTACTAAGGTCTCATAGATAGATATATAAAAAAATCTACCTTACCCCTTCTCTCTCCTCTCTCATCTTTCTCTCTCCTCTCTCACCATCAGGAACCCTAGAGAGCCATCTCTCTCCTCAGTAAGTCTCCCCTTCTTGTTACTTTTTATATTATTATTATTATTATTTAGGGAAAATAACAGGAAAGCTCCGTCATTTTTTTTAAAATTTTTTTTGATTCCACCCCCCCAAATTTTTCATTTTTATAAAGATCTCACCTTTGAACAGTGGAAGCTACAATCTTCCCTTATGAATCTCAGAATGTGGATTAATAGGGTGATTTTGGACAGTTGCTGCGTGTTTCCCCTCAATTTTGAAAACTAGGGTTTCTTTGTTTTCCCCTCTTTTTTGGGGGTTTTGATTTGCTCTTTGTTGTTTGGGCTGGACTTAAATTGGATTAATGGGTTTTGGTGGGAGATCAAGATGGACGAAATACGGATGAAAAGTTTTGATCTTTTCGTCATTTACACCCAAATTCTCAACGATCTGCTAATTTGGCACTGGAATTTCCTTGTCAAATTTCACCCAGTTCACCGATTTACTGTTTTTGCTTTGAGTATAATTCATTTGGTCAAAGTGGGTTTTATCGTAAATTGGTAAAAAGGTTTCTATTTTGATCCCATTTTGCTGAAAAAGGGAGAATTTCCTGATTCATACTATGTTCAGAATGCTTACATTTTAGCTGATTTGATCCTAATACCTGAAATATGATTCATCTGGCGAAGTTAGGTTTCCATTAGTAGTATAAGAAGCAAAATGGGCTCCCACGGGTTGATTAAAATCAATGAAAGTTCCATTCTTTTGTCTTCTGCATCTCACTGTGCAGTTTAAGTTTCACTTGAGATTGCATTTTCACTATAGTTACCCCCCTTTTTTTTCCTCCCTTGATCAGGTAGTTGTTTGTGTGTTACTGGTCTATTAGAGAAATAGTTTTATAGAATTGCAATAATAGAATGATGCAACAAAATCTGGTTGGTTAACAAACCAATCTTTTTGCCAATTTCAACCAAATATAGTTTTTATTTCTTTTCTTTTGGGAAGTTAACACTTCTAAAGCTTGGTTTTACACTAAAGTTGTTTGCTTGTTTGTTTGTTTGTTTTCGTTTTTTTTTTGCACTCACTAGTTAGATATTATATATGCTATGTGCTTGCATTCCTTTTTATTCATAGCTAGAAACTAATTTGTTTCTCAGGAACATAAAACGATTGAAAATTTCTTTAGATGGGTGATCAGAATTATTAAAAACACCAAGCATTTCATCAAGATATCTGCAACACTCCCCATTTGAGTTACATGGATGACGACGGAGGACTAAACATGCGGAACTGGAGCTACTTCGATCAACCCTTGAAGGGAAGCCTAGGGTTGCAACTCATGTCCAATGTGGCACAAGACCGTGACACCAAGCCTCTCCTCTCCAATGGAGGATTCCTCCACAGAGACTGCGGAGTTGCAGAACCTTCCGTTCCTATGGACTTCATTAGAGATAGTTGGATCCATCACAACCGAGATCATAACAAAATCCTTCATGTTCTTCCTATGAATCACCATCAAAGTTTTAATATGATCCCTGATACGTCTGCATCACAGACTATTCAAATACTACAGCCTCCGAATCCACCAAAAGAAGAGAAAATCCCGCAAGTTGATAATTTTAATAACCATATTGACACTCCTTCAAAGAAGAAGAGGTCTCAAGGACGACCTATCAAATCTCCGAAGCAGAAGAAACCTAAAAAGGTTAATAATCATGGTAGAGATGATGCAGATAATGTTTCTATATCTAAAGGGAAGATTAAGAAGAGTACCGCTTTGGTAATCAATGGAATAGATTTGGACTTATCGGGTATTCCACCTCCGGTGTGCTCTTGCACTGGAAACCCGCAACAGTGTTATAGATGGGGATTTGGTGGATGGCAATCTGCCTGTTGTACTATGAACATTTCAATGTATCCACTCCCAATGAGTGCAAAGAGGAGGGGTGCTAGAATTGCTGGGCGAAAAATGAGCCAAGGTGCGTTCAAGAAAGTTTTGGAGAAGCTTGCAGGAGAGGGGCATAATCTTTCAAATCCGATTGATTTACGGACTTTCTGGGCGAAACATGGGACTAATAAGTTTGTGACTATCAGGTAAATGTGGCCTTAGTGTTGAGTAACTGCTGTTGTAGCTGTTTAATTTCATCCGATCATATTTACATGCTTTTGTCTTTTTGAAGGGTAGATGTGTTGAGTAATGTGGACGGTGATGGTCGCTTGTTTATTGTTGGCAATCTTTAGTTTAACAGAGAACTATGCTGTCTAATTTAGGTGGCTCTTCAATTAATGGTAGAAAGTTTTTCTCATTAGTTTTGCTCGTATTATTATTCTCTCATACTCATCTACTCTTTGAGAAAATTATTATGGTTGTTTCTTGAATAGTACATGTTAGAGCTCTTGTGGATAATAATAATCTTATAAAGTGTTCCTCTTGGAAAGCATACTGCTACTTTTGGCTTTAATCTAAGTTCATTTTCTTACATTAATTAAGTGAACATTTTTTTTATTGAATTCATTTCATGCTATAGCTTTTGCGAAAATTTCAAACGCTGCAATAGCTTGATAAGCTCTGTACGAGAGGGCGAGGCAGTGCTTCCATCATCACTTTTATGCTTATTTGTTTCATCTTAGCTAACTACTATTTTAATAGTTTGATGTTCATCTTTACTGGTTTGATGTCATCATTATTAATAACATCTTTAATGAGTTTATCTTCAAGAAACATGCTATCGTTATCTCGTCAATTCCTTAGCTGGAATTAGTAAAATTCTATTAGATGTACTTTTTGCTGCTATATAATCCCCGATCCATGTGGATGACTATTTTACAAATTGATGGAGAGGATTTGGTAGAACTCGATAGAGAATGAAGTGGGTAAGCTATACAATTGACGTTTGAGAGAGATTGTTGGAGAGTTATTATCCTATGGTTGAATATCTTAGAGGATTTACAACATAATGTACGCTCGGATGAGTAATTAAATATCATTACTGATTCACTAGGAAGTAATTTTTGTATTTTAGTTTGTTTCATACTTCATAGTAGTACGTTCTAGTTTGTGCTGATACTCTTTAGTGAGTGCTCTACTGTCTGCAATATAGATTTCCTGCATAAATTTTTGGGTTAATTGTGGATGGACCTCCTGTACTATCGCCTAGTTGCCGGTAGACCCCTTGTAGTTCTATTGTTACAAGCGAGTTCTTTTTACTCTCTTACCCTGGGGAGGTCTATTTGTCACCCAAAAAAAAAGTTCACTTTCTCTGAGTGTCAAAAAAAAAGTTCAATCACATCAACATTTGTTGTTGTTGGGTACAAATGTTGTTGGGTCTATCTGGAACAATAGAACTACATGGGTTCTGGTTGCACTGTGTGGTAAGTTAGAATTCACATACTGAAGAATAGGGCCTGGGCAAAGAATGAAGCCATGTATCATACATGGGCCCCACCATTTCCTTTTGAGGAGTGAAAACTTATTGATTTCTTTAGGAGAAATGATTGTAATATGCATTTGCTTTCAATACCTTCACTGGCAGTAGCTTGCTTGTTGCTGTCAGCCTCTGAGCTGGAAAATTGAGGAGCTAACCAAAGAAGTTTGTTTCGCCTTTATGAACACATTAGGTGGGGGACTTGTTGTGAAGTTGAGGCCCTATATTGTAAAATTTGATTTGTGGGCAACAGGATTTGTGTTGGTGACATGCTTATATGCAATTCAATAAACATAGTGCTATGTGCCATGCTTTCCAACGGCCTGTTTCTGTAATTGCATCTCCTATGATTTCCTTCACAAGCTCTTGGATTGGGAGGATTTTTCAAAACCATCCGCTTTTGAAATTTATTTTCAAAAAACGACCCATTTCAACCTTAATTTCAAAAACCGACCCAGTTGGATGAAACTGGGTCGGTTTTTGAAAAAATATTCCCAAACGTCAACTCCCGTGAAGTTTTTTCTCATAACAAAACTTCACGGGAGTTCAACTCCCGTGAAGTTTAGGAATTTTTTTTTCAAAAACCGACCCAGTTTCAACCAACTAGGTCGGTTTTTGAAATTAAGGTTGAAATGGATCGTTTTTTGAAAATAAATTTTAAAAGCGGATGGTTTTGAAAATTTGTTCCTCTTGGATTGTGATGAATATTGAAGTATGTTACCCTTAACCTTCAATGTTTTGAGTTTTTTGCGCGGTGTGCTGATAATTGAAAAATATCTATACATACATAAATGTCTATAATAGCGTCGAATATTTCGCCATGTGTGAACCCAATTGCTTACTGTTCAAGTGTGGTTGTTTCTTGAGCCCAACTACTGTTCAAGTGTAGTAGTCTCTTGTTCGATAAATTTTGCGAATGTGTATATCTGCTAGTTTATGTTTCAACCTTTTGCATACATCAGATGGTGGGAGGAATATAAGCAACTCCACGAAAGTAACCATTTTCGAGAACTGATAATATACAGTAGGACTGCCTTTGTGCGAATTTGCTTTTGTATGGAAGAAATATGTGACAGCTTGGTGGCGTGACATATTTAAAAGCTTCTGTATGAATTTGCTCGGACTTTCCACGGTCTTTAAAAGTCTGAAGTATCCCTAATTTTTGAAGGGGACAAATTTCCGATACCAACCATATTTGAACTTTATTTTTAAAAAATCGACCCATTTAACATTTATTTAGCATTTTCGATCTAGTTTTAACCAGCTGGTTGAAACTGGATCGAAAATGCTAAATAGGTTGCTAAAACTTTACGGGATTAAGGATCCCGTGAAGTTTTGGACAAATTTAATCATGTGGCTAATCAAAAGAGACTTTACGAGATTGAAAATCCCATAAAGTTTTCCTTAATTTCCTATCAAATATCTTCACGTGATTTCTGGTCCCGTGAAGTATTTTTTATTAGCCACATGATTAATTTTGTGCTAAACTCCAGGGGATTCTCAATCCCATGAAGTTCTTGCGACTTATTGAGCATTTTCGACCCAGTTTTAGCCAAACTGTGTCGAAAATGCTAAATAAATGTTAAAGAGACCGATTTTTAAAAATAAAGTTAAAAATGGTTGGTTTTGAAAATTTGTTGTTTTTAAGGAGGAAAGATTGATAGAGTCGTCATATATATAAAGTAAATAATGTACAAAATACACAACATTTAGACTAAACATCTGTATGCCAGTGTAGTTTATCGGAAACGTTTGTGGTACGTTAATCTCTCGTACAAAATTACTTTATGATATCGGAGTGTGAAATATGTTGTGAAATATGCCAAATTAAAACATAGGAAACCCAAAAAAAGGGTTTATGTGCGTGAAAGATTGGCATGGCGAAAATGATACCTTTTCAAGAGATTCTTTTTTTAAATATTTTTCAGCAGTCCTCAGTTCCATCACGATTTTCGCTCAAAAAAGATGAGAGGTATTCTTAAACGATTACTTCCACCAGCTGCATACACTAAGTATTGCGGGCAACACCCCCTCGGCATGCATACAAGTACACACCAAAAAAAAAATTTAAAAATCTAGGAGTTATGGTCTGATTTCAAGCTCTCATACATGCATTAAGAATAGTTTAAAAATAATATGCATAAGATAGCACAGATTTTAAGCCATGAAGAGGAGCAATTTTGGTGAGACGAGCAGCGAGAACAGTCCTACGTTGTTCTTACATACCACAAAGAACGCACGAAATAGGTCGAAACTTAGTACCAAATGACTGAACTATTGCTTTCATAATACCTTACATTCACTGAGGTAGACATAATAAAAGGTCAAAAATACCACTTTAGACTATAAAGTGACACTCACTAACCAATAAGGTCTAAAAAGTGACATCGGTGACAATAACACCTATAAATTGACACACTTAACCGTTTACACCTACTCCGGTCGCTGAATTTTTGGTTTGACCGCGAAAAGTATAAGGTTTTGCATACCCTCATATCTCTCATATTTATATATGTATCCTCCAAATTTTAAAATGTTTATCCACCCTACACACACCATAATCTCCTTCCTCCTCCCATCTATCACATCCTCTCCAATTTCCTCATTCCCAAAATACTTCCGCACTGATTTTCTCCTTCTCAAAACTCCCTCTCCTTCTCTCCCTCCCTCCCTCCACCATCTGCTTCATCCTCTTCTTCTCTCCTTTCTTACTCCCTCTCCTCTTTCCTCCTCAAAATCTTCACCTTCACATTCTCCTCTCCCTCCTTATCCACCCATGTTCCTCATCGTAACCTCTCTCTATTCTCTCATCTCAATCTTCTCCTTCCCTTCCCTTCTTTCCTCTCTCCCCCCTCTCCCCTCAAACACTACCTTAAAAGTGAATAAGGGAGTGGAGGAGAGAAGTGGAGAAGGAAAGTGAGAGGTGTGGGGAGAGAGGTTGAAAAGAAAGAGAGTTTGGTTTTTATGCAAATATTTTAATTTTGATGGTAAATTTGTAAGTGTGAGAGATATGAATAGTATAAATACAAAAATCCATAATTTTCTTGCACATAAAAATTCTGGCAACCGGAGTCAGTTTAAGTGGACAACCACATTAATTTACAGGTATTGTTGTCCCCAATGTCACTTTTTAGATCTTATTAGTTAGAGAATGTGGTATTTTAGCCCATAATAAAATCAAGATTGTTCGCAATAAAAGCGGGCATAATCAATGAACTTCAGGGTTAATCGTGAGCAGACGTCTCTGTAGTTCCATTGTTTTGAACTTACAAACCCATAGCTTTATTTTTTAGGATACACCTCATGAGTGAAATTTTTTTGTCTCTTCTACCCTCAGGGCGTCTATTTGTCGAAAAACAATTTTCTCTCTTTGGATAAAAGCCTCAAAAGACACGTCACCCGGTAAGTATATCTACAAAATAAAACTAGAGCGATAATAAGTTCAAAACAACAATATTACAGTTGGTCTATCGGCAATTAACCCATAACCGAAACTCTCCCTTGGCGTCTGTAAATACACAACAGATAGTACATACCTAGCCTAGCAATCAGTTTGTATAGGGAAAAAAAACAAGCCTTACAAAACATATACTGTTCTATAAATTGTGTATCGTTACAAGATTGTTTAGAACAAAAACAATAGATAACATCTAGAACCAGGTAAAAACTCAGCACCTCAACACTTGGTTGAACGGCTACTCGCACTTGATAGATCGATAAATGTGGCGAACAAACAAGAGGGAAGCTCTGAACCCAACCATGCCGAGCATGAGGAAGAAACCATAGCAGATGCAGGCCATGTACCCGAAGAAGAAGGATGTCTGCATGAAACCTGACATGTCTGATCGAGCATAGTAATAGTACAAGCAGTATGCGTATATGAATAGTCCAGTCGATCCTCCACATAGGAAAGACCTGCAATCAAAAGAGAAGGATAAGCACCGGGTGATTAGATCAATAAGAATGCCTAAGAGATATCAAATCATGGCAAGCAAATGTACCTGCAATGAATTAATTTATAAAAATGGGCTGCTTACTTGAGAGTTTAACTTTCTGTGTACGTTCATGAGAGTAAATTTACTAACCCCCCAAACTTTGGGCTGGGGTCCCACGAAACCCTCCTGAAATTTAAAGATTTTAGGTGCCTTAACAGAACTCCCCTAAACTTTCAAATATCCCAGTGGAGCCCTAGCAGTCCTAAGGACATCGCCGCCCATTATTTTCATCGTGTACGAAATATGTTCTCGTTGATCCATTATCATTGGTGGGCGTTTGGGGCTTTTTCGGGTGTAGGTCATGGGGGGTATGTTTATGGCGGACTTTGTGAGACAGCCCAAAGTTCAGAGGGGTTAGAAAGGTGCAAAACGCTCTTCAATTATGAAAAGTACAATTGATTAGGGGGATCACAGGTCTATGGCCACAAGAAGCTTCCACCTGAACAAAAGCCTTGCTGATAGAAGGGCTTGCAATGTTTAAAGTAGCTGCCCACTAAATGGGTTCCATGTACAAGTGTTTGCTGGTGGCATAGTGCTACATGTTACATTACACCACCGTGACTGCCGTCATTGAAAATTGCATGTTCAAACATTTCCAGGGAAATCTCCATCATAACTCTTATGTAAAGACTCCACAGAGACTAGAAACTGTTTACCATCATGACCTGATATGGATTATATATTTGCTGCTGCAATAACCCATTAAAGAAAGCAATCCAAGTTAAGAAGCTTTACAGTAAAGTTCAAGAGATGCCTAAGCTGGAAACCCCCCAATTAACAGACAATTAACAGACCCCCCCCCTTCTGACAATTGAACAAATTGCTCAGGTTTCCTATTATATTTTCCTATTCTGAAGTTTGGGTGAGCTTTGAGAGAGCCTTTTTGGTATCTTGAAATGTCAGTGCTCATCATCTTTTTAAGGAAGCCCAATTCCGCGTTGATCACTAGGGAATGGCTAGAAACTGAGGGTATACAGGAAGTTAGGGGTTGCTCCTAGCGAGGATAAAATGAGAGGGTATTGCTTGAGATCACTGAGATGTGCATCGGAGGCCATTAAATTTACCAATTAGGATAAGGGAAAAAGTCATAATTAATCAAGATAGAAGGACTAGAGGTAGGCCTAAGAGAACTTGGTTAGAAACTGTTAAGAAGAATGTAATGATAATTATCTTAGAGGAGAAACCCTCAACAGAAGTGAGTAGAAGACTAGCATTCATCTAGCTGGCCCCAAACATTTGAGATAAACACTCTGTTGTTGTTATCCAAAATGCAATGCATATTGCATCCCATAAATTAGTAGAAATAAATATAAGTGATATTGGTTAAAACACTTGAGGACAATTAAAACAGAATGTCTGAGACTGAAACGGGAGGTTTCTAAATCATGAAGACAGGAAAGACCTAGTAAATGTAAATATAAAGTGGAAGAAAAAAAAAGGAAATATGAATTCCCAGATCCACCAGACAATGCGAGGGCCAGAAAAAAGAATGAATATAAACATATAATGTAGTAGAAAATGAATATACTTACTAGTTCGAACACGTAAACAACCTAGGTTATAGAACTCAATTATGCAGCAAGGAGAAACTTAACGAAAGTCAAACAAGCAGATAATAAACACAACAGAAGCAATAAATTGAGCATAACTTTACAAATTAAAAGGATACATATGTGCGTGCAGGTACATGCATAGGTGCACTAGCCTATGAGTAAGGAAAAGACTATCTTACCTCCACCACCACTGATGATCTTCTGCTGCGAGCTGAAAATATGTTAATGCCACAGTAATGAAGGCAGTGACAATAAGAAGGATGATGAAGACGATGAAGAGAATGCTGTAGATCGTGTAAATTTTGTGGCCCCACACACTAGCAAATATGTAGTAGAGTTCGATGTAGATGGCACTGAAAGGAAGAAAACCAGCCATGGCCATCTGAGGGATAGCTCCACGGTACCAAGGCGATGGCGGAATCTCTCTAGGATACTTGGTGGTCCTACAAGGAGCCTGGAACTCTGCTTTGCTGTTTTTACCAGCTATACCACCCACAACAAGCAAAGGCGAGGTTACCAGTGTCCATATAAGAACAATAACAACGATTGTGCCAAATGGCAAAGCTGCCGTAGCGTTGTATGCAATGGCAACGGTGTTCAAGAAGCAAAAAGTTAAGAACAAAGGCCCACAAAAGAGACATCCTGTCAGAAGTAGATTCCTCACCTGCCAGATACGAAGGCAAAATCCATCAATATGAAATTTGAGCCCATAGATGCCTCATGGATGTCAAGAAGTATCACAAAATTGACAGTTATTGGAAAGTCATGTAAAAACCAACATACAATATGTGAGTACAGTGAGCAGTCTACAACATACCCAGTTTGTTCCTTCAAGCTGACAATAGAAAGAAGTGGCGGTGTAACCAGCAATGCCCGATGTAAGGGCATAAATGACAACTAATGCAGTAAAAAGAGCTCCTCGGTTGTAGGGGTAGAATACGCCTACTAGTGCAAGAATGAAAATGAAGATTGTACTGCAATAATTCTAAGAATGAGTAAGATTCATCCAGAAAAATGAATAACAGTCTCGTAGAACTTTAAGTTTAATTCAGTTGACTATATTAAAAATCAAAGAATTAATATCCCCTGATATAACATTTAGTAATGATAATAAACTGATTAAAAATAACCTTGCTTCACGATGATTGGAACTTACAGGGCAAATAGTTGAGTGCCAGAGCCAAGACAAGCAGAGAACAAGGATTTGCTCTTTGGGTACCTAAAGACATCTCCATGAATATATTTCCACCCAGTCTCTTCTTGCTCATCAGCTTCTTCCTCATCATGAGCATATCTTCAGATGTGGAACAAAATGAAGAAAATATGAGCTAATGATCCAGCACTACAAGCATCATACGTAATAACATCTCACAAAGGCATGAATTAAATCATAAACTTTTCTGGCAATGTAATATTTCAAACCATAACTACATATGATTATAATACCAAGGTACCTGTCTAAGCATAGTAGTAATTTTCGCTTAAATGTGATAAAAGGGCAATCAGAATCAGTCCTAATATTCCATTTCTACTCTGCGCACTACTGCAGCAACCACAATGTATAAGTTAAGGGAAAATATCATGCACGTTTACCACATCACTATGACTATAAGGCTATGCGTAAGCCGTTTCTGACTGATAAGGGCCTGCTGAAGATTTTGAATGAAAAAACCGTTGCATACAAAATATCAATCTTTAGTTAAAGTTAAATATGAGCTACTTGAAGTTCCAAACAAGACAATAGATGTCTAATCTTCACGCCTGTCTTGATAACTATCATGTAATGTGTTCAACAGTTCTTAAGCTTCCATTGAACTATGGGAGCATGGAGATCAACCTTAATAGACATTATGGCATGTTTTGATGATAAATGTCTGGGGTCTCAAGAAACTAACAACTCATGTAATTATAAATTTCACGGCTTACATCTAACTAGCATCTGCTTTATCTGCACAAGTCTACCTGTTTAAATGGCATGAATTGGTTCATGCCTTACGCATCCCATTACATAACTAACAAAAAGTAACTCGAGTATAAATAAAACAACAGAAATTATTCCTGCATTCAATAAGAAATAACAGAGAGATGTTCTTAAAATAATTACTACCTAATTATAAAAACTAAATGAATCACACATATTTACATACATACATATATATACATACAAATATACATAAACACGCACACATGCACACACATATAGAGTATTTTATGTACCAGAAATCATATAGAAGACCAATAGCACTCTACATGCTTTTGATATTTGATACAATAACAAATCTTATGCCTCCACAATTCAGTTAAATATGCAATTAAAAAATGTTAATCATCGCACTCCAGATAACAGAAAATGGAGTAAAACATTCCCCATTAACAATATTTTCGTGATTGGCAATTATCTATTTATCGTTCATTTATAATAACTCATGATATTTATTTTCTCATGTCTATGACTCTAGTAGAATGTTTATGCTGAAGTTTCGAATCAAACTCTGTAGGATTTCAACCGTACTAACACATTTTCGACCATGATGAACTGTTTTGAGTTTTGACAAGATTACAATAGTTCTCACCGACGCAATGGTTACTAATCTGAGATACACCAGCATCACAAGTAAATTGAAGAATGTTCTGGCCAAATAACTGGTAAACCATCTTATGGAATAAAAGTCTACAATGAGAAGAAATCTAATTTAATAAAGTCCATAATACTCTAATATAATGGCTAATTCTAGGACCTAACCCAGGGGGGGAAAAGAAGAGCTAATGTTAAGATTTTAAATATTACTCACTTGACAAAGTCATTCTTCAGAACCCTCATAAGAATTGTAGCGAGGAACCCTGTCAAAAGAAGAACTGTGACACACGAATTAATAATCGAAAACCAGTGGATCTCCAAGTGGTGAGGCATTGACGAAGACTGAGAGTATTTCTCCATCCTCTTCTCAAATGGTGTGGGAGTCTCCTTCCACTTAACTGAGTACAAAAACTCAACCTCCACATCTCTGTCCTCGGTAACATCTAACATTGCACTTATATCAGTATGGATATTGATCTCAATCACTCGATCGTTGTTGTAAGAGACATCAAAGTGGATGTGCCTATAAAGGTAGTATTTGTAGTCACTTGGATCAACCTTTCCCTCCTTATCCACCTTTCCAATGAATCCCCAGATGGGGAGATCATCGTAATACATCTGGAAGTAGTAATCCTTTTGGAGGGCACTCCGGAACTGAGCTACATCTTCCTTTGTCAGTTCCTTCCTGCATATGGACTTCGAGTCCAAGTCAACTCGGAAGTCAAGCTTGTAAGGAGCATCAACAAGCCTGTCACCATTCAGAACTTCACCAAGGGCCTCCGATTTGTCACGAACATGCTCTGTTATATATCGGCGCACCAATCAAGAAACAGTAGAATGTGGCATTGAAGATAAAGACTATAAAGGGTAGCATATGAACCAGAAACCAACCTGGAGCACAGAAGGGGAGATCAAAGTATCGATATGTCTCGCTGAAAACATGAAACAACTAAAATTAGTGCATGTACATTATCATTGTGGGCAATAAATACGATTTCCCGTGCTGAAGTCTTAAGAGTATATACAAGTATACAGCACTAATAAAATAAATATCAAATTATATGAACCACTGAATGCTGAACAACTGGGATCAACGCACCGAATTCTTTCATTAGTAATGAGCGCAGTAAGCTTAAAGTATGCGATATCCTCGTATGTGTCCACATAGCAAAAACATAGTATGAAGCGGTGTTCACAAATGGAAAAGTTTGAATCCTTCCATCCACCTTTATCATAATTTCTTTGTGGAAAGATTCAGCTGCTTGGATGTGTTTCTCCAAAAAGATTTTGCATTTCTTCGAGCAAAGCAATTATTAAATAACTTGACATGAAATCCCTCAAATGACAATGAAAAATTATCCCCCATCTCCTTCCAAAGAGCTTTAATAGGAACCTGATTTTAAAAAAGGAAAAAAAAATCCTAGACCAATTCCAACAAAATATATGTAAAAATTCCAAAAAATAAAAAAATCTCAGCTCCCAGCAATTTAGAGAAGAAATTTTCTACTCCCGATGAAATTTGAGGAAAAAACAATGTCAACACTCTCTAAATTTAGAGATTCCCTAGCTTCTAAGTAATAATAACTGCTTCACAAACTAAAGCCACAATTCGCAAATCATAATCTCCAACGAAAAAACCAAAATTGATAAAATAAAATAAAAAAAAACCTCCCCGATCCGAAGTCAAGTCAAAGATCAGTTCGCTAAACCATAGACATTCTCAGATCGAACAACAACAACAACAACAACACATGATCTAAGATCTAGCAAGCTTTCACCAGATTCAAGAAATTTACCTAGGGTTATGGAAAGGGCCGACCTTGTTAGCATAAAAAGGCACCGGATCCCCCGTTTTGTAACGGTGATCTGAAGCGTCCGATACGACTCGGCCGACACCGACACACAGAAGCAGCGCTACGAAAGCTACCGCCGAGTTCTCCATCTTCGGTTCACTTTCTCTCTCCTCTTCGGTTTGATGAGAGAGAGAGGGGGATTGCCGGTATTGAGTGAGGGCTTATTAGAGGGGAGCGCGTCGACTAAAATTGCTTGTATTTTGTCCTTTTTGTGGGTGTAGGATTGTTTATGTTACTTCGAGGGGGTATCTGAACGGGGTGGTTTGTTTGGCCCGTCCGTGAGCTAATGAGATTTGGTGCGACCGTACCGTGATTATTCTATTAATTAGATGTTTTCAGTAGAGACAAAAAAAATAAAAGAAATATTAACAGAAAAATTAAGGGTGCCAGCGAATAACAAAATAGAATTGTATTGTATGCTTATGATTTTATCAGTCAAGGAGGACTAATATACAACTGTCATACTATACATTAAACAAAGCAGTGAAAATATGACCATGTATATAAACTGTAGGTTTTTTACCTAGAAACCACATTTAAAATAAGGTCATTATATAGAAACCACATTTCATTTTTAATTTGTAATACATAAACCATCTTTAAAGTATTTTTTGTTACGATCAAACACCTAGACCCACTTTACGATTAAAGTTAATTGATCCTATCTAACCTCAATTAAGGACCATCTCTCCATTATATTTGGTATTTGGCAACCAAATTATTACCACAACAGGAAAAAATTAACCTAATGGTATGTTTGGGAGTTCACTTATGCCCTGTTTGGATGGAGGGTAGAGAGGGGGAGGGGAAGTGAAATACAACTTTCACCTTGTTTGGGAATTTTTTTAAGGAGGGTAGAGAGGAGGAAGGAAGGGGAACAGAGGGTAAAATTACTTGGTTTTCTCCCCCCCCCCCTGATGTGTTATTAGTATAAAGTCATTTATGTAAATTTACATATATTTACTTCCTTTCACCTTCATTCACCTTACTCAACTCCCAAACAACATATTACAATTCTCTTCCCTTCCCTTCCCTTCCCTTCCCGTTGTTTACCTTTCCTTCCCTTCCCTTAGTAAACTCCCAAACACACCATTAGGGAAGGGAAGGAACAGAAAAAATTCCTCTTCCTTCCCTTCCCCTTCATTACCCCCCAATTTGTGGTGTAACATTTTGGCACAAATTTTCTCATCATTCCTCTTCTCTACCCTCCTAAGTGACTAAGTGTAACTCTGAAACAATGTTAAAATTATATTTCTCTTCCCCTCTTCCTCTCTACCCTCCATCCAAACAGGTCAAAAAAGTGGGCTCAAGTGGTTAATTGCAGTAAAAAACACTTTCAATGTGGTTTATGTATAAATTGAAAATGAAAGATCATTTTTTTTAGAATGATCCTATTCCATGAAAAACTGTAAGCTTTAATACTTGTAAGCAGGTGAGAGAATAAGCTACAATAAAATTTGTTGATGTTAATAATCAAACATATAATATAATGAGAGTGAGGTTGATTAGGTGGCCGCTAACTTCTCTAAATATCTAATTTTGAGTCGAGTAGCTTCAGCCTGCACCAATAGCAACTCAAACGGGGACTAGTTCCCCAGTTGTTCCTACGACAATTAAGTCATTTGATGGACTTGAGTGGGAAAATGATGAACTTGTGAGTTCTAAAGTGTAGTGTAATAGAATTTTTAGATATATCTCTCCTATAGCTTAGAATAATACCTCTATTTATAGCGGTGGAAAAATGTAGAATGGTAATCTCGACCGAGTACAGGATGGCGGCAAATGAGTATGGCCTGGCGGCTACGTCAGCACCTACTTTACAGGTATCAGTCGACGAGTGGAGGAGAGGTCACCTCAGCATTTAATGTGAAGTGATCGGGGGTATGGCGGTGTCGACGTGGCTCAATGAGTCATGAAGACTATCGAGGCTAGAGGCATGATGACACCTGCTAAGCATTAAATATGACGACGATGCGTTGTCAGCGGGGGAGCTTCGAGGTTGAAGTCGTCCTTTACATTGGTCGAGAAGTAACGCCTTTCGAGTTGACCCAGCGTAGCGTCGAATAACTAGTCGAGTGGGCTCGTAGCGAGTCGTCTTCGACGAGAGAACTGATAAGTATCGCCCTTCGAGTCGACCTAAGGAGATGTTGACTAGGCGAGTCGACTAAGTCAGGATCCTTGGTGGTCCTGACCGTTAATTTGATTTGAACGGTGCACACAGGGGGACACATGTCCATTGTTGGCAAAAGGCCGTACTTTGACAACTAAGAACACCATAATAGTTGGCTCATTTCGCTTGGAGTTGGCTTGGGCCGGGTCCGAGTGAAATGAGAGCAGCTTTTGGACGGACGTGGGTGTGCATTAAATGAGGGAAGTGAAAAGTTTTTCCAGATTTTACATGATTGACGTCACCACATATTCTTTTTGACTGCCCCAGCTCCGCTTTTCATGGCAGATTGTGGGTTATTCAAGGTAAGTAGGTTGCGCCTTGATCATTGAGGTGTCGCTTCGGATTCTAAGAATTAATCTTGACCGTTGGACAAAGTTTGATCCGGCCATTCAAATTCCGGCAGCTAGGGATCCAACTGCCTATATATAGAGCCAGGCCATGGAGATGGTGGTTATTACCTTTTGAAATTCCCTTCTGTGAAAACATCTTCCGCGCCTATCTTTTTCCGGTGATCATTTCTCCTTTCTAGGATGACATTAGATCTTGTAGACCGACGAGCTCTTCTGGCGGAGTTCTACTCCAAGGTTGATGAGGATATTAAGAACATTAATGGTGTGTTATGATGGTGTAATTAAATGGATACTTAGTCGGTATGTGATAAGGAATGTTGGTTAGGTATGTTTTGATGATACAAATATATTGTGTGTTTAGCTAACTTGATTATTGCAACGTCAAAAGATAAATCCTGCTACATCATTCAAGTTGATCAAGCAATGCTGAAAAGAAATCAAGATAAAGTTAGACTTCATATTGTAACTTTTATTTTATTTTAGATTGTTAAAAGCCTTGATGCACACACAAAAAAAAACATAACTTAGTTTATAAGTTCTAAGTCCCCTATTTGACTAATGATACCCCTAGTCGATTTATAAAAGAACTAATAAAAACATAGATTTTCTGCAGTAAAAGTAACAGGTTTTAGTGACATATTAACTTTGAAATTTTATATAAAATTACAAGAGCATTGTATTGTGATGATTTTGGATTCATCAAGTAGATATTTGAAATACGCATCCAACGCATCCAAAATCACTCAATTCAGATGTCGTAGGAAGAAGTTATGTCCATTTTAGTGTGTGTTATTGATTTTGCTTTTCTGGTCAGTCGACTGGTCACTATAGCAGGCGACCGACTAGCTTGTTTGCTCAAAATTAAAATCTCTCTGGCCAGTCGACTTATCCACACTTTAGTTGACTTATAATGGTAGTTTTTGACTGTTAAGTGTATGAATTTTGGTTAGTTACTGTTATATTTTGGTTTTCAAATTTATTTTCAAACCCTTTATGTCAACCTAAGATTTCTATAAATAGGCATGGCTTTCTCATTTGAAAAGATGATAAACAAGATTTATTATGCTTTGACTTTTGAAAATCTCTAAAATTCTGAAAAAAACTCTCTTTATAGCCTTATTGTCCAAAATTCCTAGATTTAGTGAGGCAAAATATTGAGAATTCCTATTAGCCACAAATCAATTAAGATCACTACACATCAAGGTTTATAAGATTGTTGTAATCTTCATCAAGAAAAGTTCTCTCTGGTTTGAGGGAAGAGGAAAAGTTCTCTCTGATTTGAGGGAATAAAAGTCTTTCTTTGATTTGAGAAAGGGTTTGCATTTTGGCAATGACATTGTCAAGGTTATGCAGGAGTTATTCTTATAAGGAAATTCAAGAATAGTGAAAAATCTCAAGTGGGTTGCTTGGGGACTGGATATAGGTCGGGAAGACAGAACCAAGATAAATCCTCGTGTTTGCGATTGTGTTTTTCTGGTTTGAGTAATTGTGTTAATATAATCTTATTCCGCTGCATAGTTATTTTCAATTTTGCAATAAATTTTTATAAAGCACTATTCTCCCTAGTGATTTGCGCATTGCATACAGGATCCAACAGTAAATAAGTGGATAGATATTTAGATTTTGCATCAATGTACGTGTGTATGTATTCATATTGTTGTTTCGTCATGAAGAACACCAAATTATATTGATAACCATAAGAATATAAATGACACATTTACAATTGTACTCACAAATTGAAGAATATTTTAAAAATAGAAGTTTTAACATCCTTCATACTTTTACAATAGTATTAGATTAGGTAATATGATATGATTGAAATAATTTTGATCAAGAGTATTTTTGTCCATGAATTTTTTTCTAAACTCATACTGTAGGCAATAAAAATTACCTTTAAATCCTTACCAGAGAAGTTCAGAACAAAACTGCTAAAAACCTCGCCCGAAATAGCAAAAAGGGGAAAAACACTGATAAAAAGGGGAAAACGAAGATATCTCCCAAACCGTAAGGAATTTGACGAAACGGAAGAAGCGAACCGAAGCCTTTGGCTCGGTTCGGATGGCTCCATCTCGTCGAGATAGGCGATTTTCATATATAATTCGTCCAATTCCGACTTACGGTTTGAAAGTTACGGCCTATTCTTCGATCCATGCTCAGGAGCTCGCCTGCAGCTCGAATTTTGCCTGCACGATCAAGCTCGCCTGCAGACCCAAGTTTGCCTGCAGTCATAAGCTCGCCTGCAGACCTAGTTCGCCTGTAAGCTCGCCTGTAGACCCAAGCTCGCCTGCAGACCCAAGCTGCAGACTCGCCAACTCACTGTCAACTGCCCACTTGGAGTATGAGAACAGTTACATCAGTGGTCAAATCCCACAAATCAAGGGAGAAAGCATGACGCTCCTCACCTAGCAAGAATAGGGCGGCTGACAGGACCCCCTAAGTGGTCGCATCCTACAGCTAGAGCGGCTGACAGGACCCCCTGAGTGGTCACATCCCACAGCTAGGGCAGCTGACTCCCTCACCTCTATTAGTGGTCAAATCCCACGAATCAAGGGATGGCTCATGCCATCCCTTGCCTATTAAAACCCATCTTCAGCCAGCATGAAGGGGGGATTGGCTGTTGCATATTCTGCTGGT